AACAGTACAAAGTTGAATGATGCTTACCGGATGTCTTCTTTTCTCTCTGCACATTTTAACAAATCCATACTCGCTTAGCTAATTCATACTCAAAGGCATAGAGGAGATCCAAATAAGGGATCCATGCAACGGTCAGAGGAAATTACACTTTTTTGTCCACATGCTTTGGAGAATGGGTAATAGTGGATGCTGCAACCTAAATTAACAAGTGTGTATTTATTTACTTGGTAATTTCACAGATTAGCCATTGGAAGCTCAAAGCTGTCAGCAGGCTCCTTCTCTTACAACAATAACTGATAGCTAGTCCACATCTTAAGTATTTAAGATGTTTGATTTATATGGCTTCATCTGAAAGTTGGATTAAGTCATGTTTCCCATATTCAATGCTTTGTAGATGACACAGAAGTCAGTTGGTTTCAAGCACTCATAATGAGCCAGCTTTTAAAACTATAGAAAACTGAAAACATTGAGCATAGACCACCACGAGCACGTTATTTTTTCCCATTAAGTGTAAATTGTAGAATTAGTAGTGCAGCTTTTATTCCAAAAGAATACTTGGTGGTCCATCATAACAGTATCAACAAGAGGAACATCTGGAACGCAGTGTTCATAGGGGTAAATTTGCAAACACAGGAGCACGTTTATTTCAATATATTGAAACTACTTGATAGGAAGCCACTGGCCCTCTGTTTGTTATTGCTAGAGTTGAAAATAAACGAGAATGTCTGCGTTATTGGAACGTGAGCTCAGCAGAGCCTTTGTTAACTTGACAAAATAAGATTTCCACATTAGAAAGCAAAATGTTTGCTTTGTTTGTTGTTTTTTTCCATAAACAAACTTTTATTTTTGGCAAGACAAAGAATACTTTTGATCCCTCACATGTATCCAAATTCCAAATGTCTCTACAGAATATCATAAACCTAAATCCATGTGCAGTGTTTCATTCACAGTTTAACGAACACTGGAACCTGTTTCTTTATAAACAAACATTATAGGAATCACTAGATTTACAAACTTGTTATTATCCTACTATTTATTTGCAGAAATTAGATAATATTTAATCCGGTGCCTTACTTTACATGCATTGAAACCTTAAATGAGTGCTAGATTTTGAATTTACAGCTCTGCGTTCAGAACATATGTAAAGCTAAATGTCTGACTTCCTAAGCTTTCCCCCAGAATCTGCAAGCATGGGCTTAATTATAGATTGGCATTGGTTTATGGAATCTTTTATGGGACCACTGTCAGGATGTTGTACTCTGTTAAGGTGCACAGCTCTGTCCTGCAATCCACTAGTACTTTGTGGTCCGGTTGGGGATGTATATGTTTTCCCTAATCAAACCACATTTCAGATTTATGATGCAGTGGTCCTGTTAACAGGTTGTACTAACAGCCACTATTTCTCTCCTAAGCAAGAGTACTGGGAGGAAGTGATGTCAGTTACCTTCCTTCCGGCCCAATAAGGGGAGGGAAGAGAAAGCGTGCACTGACGACAGCCCTAGAACACCCCCACTGAAAGCTCATCTTGTAGCCCATAGGTAGGCAAAGAGGAGGGTGGCTCGAACACATCTGAATATAAATATATGTGTGGGTATCTGTGTGTGTGACAGTGTTTATATGTGACATATATTGACATCTATTGACATGAGTGAGTGGTAGTGTGTGTACGTATATCTGTATTTGGCAGTGTGTATCTTTATTTTATATGTATGTTGTAGTGTGTATCTGTGCATTTCTGGTTTGTGGCAGTGTATATCTGTGTGTGTGAGAACATATGTGTCCTGTAATGCATATCTGTGTGTGTATCAGATTGTGTGTGCATGCAGTCATGTCTGCTAGTGTGTTTTTGGGGCAGCCATTGTTTTTGCAATGAGTTCCAAAGTTCTGGTGGCAGCCCTGACGTTATATTAGGCTAAGTATAATAGGCTCTTTGTTTCTTACCTTATTTTCAGAGTTAGGGTGTCTACATTATGATCGACATATAGGTGTCTTTTTCCTCATGACCAAGTTGGTACAACTACCTTGCGTTGTATATCATAACATATACCTAAAGGCTACACATATATTTTAGAATGACCAACAGAGCATAGCAACTCTTTATTAACACTTGTCTTAAAGGTTTCATTGACCTTACGTACGGACAACTCACGCTTGCAGGACTTCTTGCAGGCAGCTCCCTTCCTTTGGAATAGCCAGGGCCGGCGCTTCCTATAAGGCGAACTAGGCAGCCGCCTAGGGCGCCATATAGGAGGGGGCGCCCTGCGCCCCCATCGCCGGCCCTTTAAATTGTGCAGCCGCCTGAGCGCTCTATGGAGAGCGCTCAGGCGGCTGCCGCAGTGCCTTTCCCTCCGAGCTCTTGTCTGACCTGCTGGGACTGAAAGGAAGTGCACACTCAGTGTGCACTTCCTTTCAGTCCTCGAACTGGCCCGCTGACCGAAAGGAGCTCTGCCACGCCACAGCAGGGAAGGGACATGAGGTGAGGAGGAAGCCTGATGGGAGGGAGGGGGGGGGATGGATTGATGGGAGGGAGGAGGGGGGATGATTGATGGGGGAGGAGGGGGGAGATGATTGATGGGAGGGGGGAGATGGATTGATGGGAGGAGGGGGGGGAGATGATCAGATGGGGGAGGAGGGGGATGTTTGATGGGGGGAGATGATTGATGGGGAGGGAGATGATTGATGGGGAGGGAGGGGGGGGAGATGATTGATGGGAGTGGGGGGGAGATGATTGGGGGGGAGATGATTGGCTGGGGAGGGAGGGGGGGATGATGGGGAGGGGGGGAGATGATTGATGGGGAGGGGGAGATGATTGATGGGAGGAGGGGGGGAGGATTGATGGGAGGGAGGGGGGGAGATTGATTGGAGGGAGGAGGGGGATGGGATGGATGAGGGAGATTTGATAAGAGAGAGGGAGGGGGGAGATGATTGATGGGAGGGAAGGAGGGGGGGAGATGATTGATGGGAGGGAAGTGGGGGGGAGATGATTGATGGGAGGGGGGAGAAGATTGGGGGGGAGAAGAAGAGAAGATTATGGGGGGAGAAGAAGAGAAGATTACGGGGGGAGAAGCAGCGATTACAGGGAGGGAAGGGGGGAGAAGAAGAGAAGATTACAGGGAGGAGAAGAAGAGGAGAACACAGGGAGGGGGGAATAAGAGGAAAACACAGGGAGGGGGGGAATAAGAGGAGAACACAAGGGGTGGGAGATGAGAACGTAGGGGAGGGAGAGACCACTAAAGGAGGGAGGGGGCGGTGGAGAGACCACTAGGGGAGGGGTGTGAGGAGAGACCACTAAGGGCGGGGGGTGGAGGATAGACCACTAGGGAAGGGTGGGGGGAGAGGAGAGACCACTAATGGAAAGTCGGGGAGAAAAGGAGACCACTAAGGGAGGTGGGGGGAAAGGAGAGACCACTAAGGGGCAGGGGAGATCTCTAAGGAATGGAAGGGAGAGCTCTATAGGACAGGGGGACAGGGAGCTCTTTCACACCACGCACACACACACACACACACACACACAATGCATCCCTATACACACAGAAACACAACATGCTTCCCTTACACACAGAAAAACACACAATGCAACCCTTACACATAAAGACAATGCATCATTTGCACATATACACAGAAACACACAATGCATTCCTTACACACACATGCAAACACACACTGACACACACACATGCATCTCTTACACACACTCAACGCACCCCTTACAGACACACACACTGCATCCCTTACATACACAGAAACACACTTTGCATCCCTTATGCATACAAACACAGATTCACACAATGCATCCCTTACACACAACAAGAAACACACAATACATCCCTTATACACAAACACACACTGCTTCCACTACACACAAACACACTGCATCACCTACACAAACTGGTATCCCTATACACTACATTACGTAAGCACACACATTAGATCCTCTACAGTAACACATAACACATCCCCTACACACTCCACTCCCTGTGAGCGAACTCATGGGTGGAACATGTAGGTGGACTTATGGGTGGGCTTTATGGGCATACTCACCGTCAGGCCCTGGGGCCCAGACCTTGAGCTGTGTAAGAGGCCCCAAAAAATGGAGCTGCTTCCCGTTCTCCCAGAACATTGAATTTTGTGACCACAGTTACAAACAGCCTCCAGAGATCCTGTTCTACACCAGACCAGTGGAGCCAGAGCCCATCACCATCCTCATCTGGTTGTAAGTAGGCAATCTAGTATATTATTAGTGACACTGATCTCTAATTTACCTCACATTAAATGGACACTATAGTCCCCAGAACCACTGCAGCTTAATAAAGTTGTTCTGGTGTCTATAGTTTGTCCCTGCAGGCTTTTTAATGTAAACACACACTGTGTGCAGCACTGGCATTAGCTCTATGGGTGGGGCATTGCGATGTTCCGGGGGGGGCGGCAAATCCTTCTTTTGCCTAGGGCGGCAAAAATCCTTGCACCGGCCCTGATTGAAGATGCTTTTTCCATGAACAGTCATTGCAAAAGTCAGGCAGGACAAGCTACAACATATTAAAAACAACTTCATAATTCCCCAACCCACCTTAAACTGCAAATCACTATAAAACCCATAAATTGATGGAGGATAGGCGCTTCACATTTGGAGCGTTGTCATGAAAAACAAACGAGAAAAAAATGAACCCAGTCTGGCCCCATAAGCATCAGCTGAGTTGTTAAAACTGCCCTCCCCCTTGTACTGCTTTAATAACTGTTTCAGTCCCAAGCAGTAAGGGGCTCAAATAGCTGCCTGTCTAAATCAGAGGACAGGGTTAAAAATAAAATTGTCACATTCATGGAAAAACCACCAGAATGGAGACTCAAAGAGCCATTGCCCAAGGTGGTGATTAGACCACTGCACATCCCATCCCATAAAAAACACAAAGCATCATTGTGCCAACACAGCTTAAAAATAAAAAGTAAAACAAATTCTGCATTGTTATAAAACTTGATAAAAAATAGTATTTCAAACTGTACAGTCAACAGAAGTACACAGTTATCAAAAATTCACACTGCTCACTTGGAGTCCCCAGTTCCCTCTGTGCCTGGTCTGATTTGGCTTCTCCATTTTCAGCAGCATTGCTGCTGTCCTTGCCAGAATCGGCCTTTCCTTTCTTTCCTTTTGATGCCTTTTCAGCCTTCTTTGGAGGAGCAGCTTTCTTGGGCTTGGGCTCTGGTTTTGGTGGGGCAGGTTTAGCCGATAACCATGCAGATCGTCTTTGTGGCTCATCTTTCCCCTTTGCCTTCTCCACCTTGGAGTCTCCTTCAGCCTTTCTCTTGGGCATGCCGGGCGGTGTTTGTTAAACGTCTGGACGGAACTGATTGAAACTCTGACTGAATTCCGTCAACCTCTCTCTCGCAAACGAATCCCTAACCACAACATTCTAAACAGTCGGCTGGGTGGTCGCTGTTCGTATGTGCGAACACATGGCGGCGGCCACCTTGACCCACGAACACAGGCAACTCGACCGCCCAAACACCACTGAACTTCCACCTTCACTTGTGTTCGTCTATCTTTCATCTGGAAAGAACTGTTTGGTGGAAGCTTACTCCCGAACAAGGGACTCATAACCAGTATACAGATGGAAGTCTTTATTCAGTATTCTGTGTAATTCTGTACTCCTGAAAGAGACTGACTGCTCAGATCAATTCCATTGAACTATTCTGGGCAGCAACTTTGTGTGCGGTCTGTCAGAACTATACCCCGGTGATATTTCGGCTGTGTTGGGGGGATCTGAGCACTTTCTGGATATGTTGGGTGCTCAGATCCAGGCTATCCGGGGATATAGGACTTGAGAGGGTACCGGTTTGTATTGTATATATTTTGGGGTGTAATAACTGTACATGTTCTGTACCTGAGAGTTGCATAAAAGGTCATGTGTGGATTCCAATAAATCAGTTCATCCCCAACATAGAGCCTCATCTCATGTTTGTGGTAGGAAGCTATACCAGCTATATCACTAGTTTGGAATATCACTACATGGGATTGTCACATCACTCGCACTGGAGGAAACAGAACATCTCTGGCAGCGAAAACCCTCTTCCCATTTGTGGGGTGCCCGCCACAAAAAAAAGTATAAGTGGATATTAACCAGACTGACAATTTTCAGCATACTGAGGGGGAGGGAGGGGGAGGGGGGGAGGAGTTATTATGTAGAGTTTGTGGTTTGTATGCAGAGTTTGGTGCTTGTTAAAAAAATAAAGTGTCTGGATTATGTGAAACCAAAGGACTCTGCATGTTTACGGTCTAGAGGACCGTGCTAACTGCAAACAAGGATCACAATAGGGTGAAGAATGCGGGCATATTAGCACATAAAGAGTCTGTGGGTATGCCTGTCGTCTGTTAGTCTGCTTTTTGAGGACTTTCGTTTGTCAGACCTTTTAAACAAAGAAGTAGCACTGTACCTTTAAGATGGTTATCTGCTTGGTGCTAAAATGGAGGAACTGTTTAAGGCTCTAGTACAGGCAACCGCTGTACAACGAGAGGCAATTGCTGTACAACAATGCACACACCGTTTACTGGCTGCGCAGGTTGAGAACCTAGGGGACGCTCACAGTGGTGTACACAATCCATGCGGCCCCGGTGCAAAACTGCTCTGTGGGCCTCCCATCCTGCCCCCTCATCTCTCTCCCCTTCCCTCCCCTCTCTCCCCCGATCCGTGGGCCCCCCGAACACATCCATAGACACAAACACACACACAGAGACAGAGACACACACACACATAGACAGACACAGACACATACAGAGACACAGACACAGTGGGGGCTCAGCCTGATGGGAGTCAGAGTTCTCACTCTGACTCAGTCTTCTTTCCTGCTTCCTCCCGCGTGGGCTGATAGCTGGGAGGGACCGGTGAGTCACTTCCTCTCAGCAGTGATGTCATCATAGGGGGCCTGGTCGAGCTGTTAAAGCACCCAGCGCAGACTGGGCCCCCTGATAACCCATATCCATTGGGTGGCCCTGACAACATGGGCCACCCGACAGACTGCTTAACATGCAGCCCCAGCGGTTTACCTCTGCGGGCCGGGGCCGCAAAATATGCCAGCTGGTATGTACCGTGGTATGTATGCCGCTGGACGCTCAGCAGGAGAATAGAGCTGCCCTTACTGAGGTTTTGCAGATTGCCCCCTGCAGGGAGCCTGTGGACAAGGGACCCCGTAACCAAGCAACTGACGTCCTGAATAAGATGACAGAGGCAGTAAATGAAGTCTTCAGCAAGCTGAAAGGCATGGAGGCAGCAAAGCATGATGCTGAGATACATGTAGAAGAGGACTTAGGAAAAGAGTTGGAAACTGAATCTTGCATGTTTCAAGCGAAAGCTGGAAAGACATTGGGAAACAGAGGTGTTGATAAATTATCCCAAGGCAAGAAGAGAAGAAAAAAAAAAAAAAAAGACTGAGGCTAGCGGTGTCAAGCAGGGAAATTGAAAGTCAGTCAGTGCTCAGACGAGCTAGGTTTTTGTTTAAAGGGAAACCTGTTATATTATTGTTTATTTAGTGTGTTGTTGTCTCCTGTGTCGATTTACCAATAAAGTGCCTGGATTATGTGAAAACCAAAGGACTGTGCATGTTGTTAACCTTAGAGGACCGTGCTAACTGCAAACAAGAATCACAATATATAGATCTACAATTTTAGGAGTTGGTAAAGAAGTGTCTGTCCTACTTAAAAGACACCAAGAGCCTTTTAAAGATTTTAAAAGATTTTAATTGGAATAAGGAGTTTCTCTTAATTACCTGTGACATTAATAGCCTCTACACCTGTATAGAACATGATAGAGGTGTGGAGGCTGTGTTTTTTCTTGGAGGATTCTAAGTCCTTTCAGAAGGAACACATTTTGTTTATTGCGGAGGGTATTAAATTGATACTCTTTAATATTAATTTTTTTGTTTGAAGGCAGTTATTTTTTACAGTGTAGAGGCACAGCCTCTGGGGACTAGATTCACACCCAGTTATGCTAACTTATTTATGTCAGAAGGGGAACGATTTTTTATTTATTCCCAATATGACTGGGTGGAGAACCTGGTTCTCTACAAAAGGTACATCAACGATATTTTTATTATCTGGTGGTTGCGATGAATCATCTGCACAAAGTTTTTAAAAACTTTTTAAATACTAATAGGTGGAAAATTAAGTTGTCACATGAATACAGTAGGTACTTGGTTAATTTTTGGGACTTAAGTACATATGGAGATAATTAACAACTTAAAACACACTCCTTTTGCAAACGGGTCGATGTTAGTAGTTTTATTCACACTAGCAGCTGCCACTTCAAACCTTGGCTATCTAAGGTTTCCAAGGGCCAGTTTCTAGGAATTCAAGTACAATGAATATGATAAACAAGTTTTGATTCTAAAAAACAAAACAAAAACAATTTTGTTACGAAAGGTTGTTACGAACATCAGTAGTTATGCTACCTTGTTCGCCTATTCGTTCCCCAATTGCTGAGCATCATTTATTATAGCTGCAGCTAGGGTGTGTAGATGAATAGTCAGATGAATGCAGCGTCTAAGACGAATCTCCCCAGCAAAGAAAAGGTTACCCAAACATGAGCCTAGACTTCATGAAGGGTACAACAGGAATAATGTTTTATTGATGCCACACTGGCTTTTATGGAAGTCCCTATGCAAGAGGACCTCCCACGGTACACAAAAGTGACAACCAATCACATTGCTTAATTACAGTTAAACACTCCCTCTTTCTGCCTGTGAGATAATTAGGTAAGCTAAGGGCTAACCCAATTATCTCCAAGGAAAAAGGAACACATTTTCCCCAAAACAAGGAACATGATATCCCCACAAATGACATATCCCCTGATAGCCCCGATCTGGGAGACCAACATATTCAAATTTCACCCAGATCGGTTCAGGGTTTTTCGGAAAGTATGGAAGTCTTAGTTCACCGGTCAGTTTTGAAAATGGCATAAAAATGAATTAAAGCATGAACGGCGCCTCCTGGCTCATAGGAGCGATTCTTCCCCTTGTTCGTGGGAACCAAACTACCGAACGGTACTCTACTAGCCATTCGACAAAAGGAAGCAGGCATTTGAATGTTTTCAGCAGTGTTCGGGAAGTCAAGTTCTGATTTTAGTTCCAGACACTCGACGACCAAGTCCCGCTGCCTCCTTTCATGCAAACAAGATGGCCGTTTTCTCTTCCACGTGGCATTCGACTATGCAAACGGCGGCCACCCAGAGAGAGCGTTTAATTGACGGTTCCCTTTGTAGTTAATGAGCCAGGAGGGTTGTCGGTGTTCGGTAGTTGAAACTACTGAACCAATAAAAACTCAAAATAAAACGAATGGCCTAAGAAAATCCCGAATACAATGCTATTTTCTTCACAAAAGGTTATAACAAGAATATTTTGGAAAAAGATATTATAGAAGTCAGAAATAAAGACATATAACAATTATTAGAATATTAATCCATAACCTCTACCAATAAAGATGATCAAATCCCTTTAATTCTAGATTTCAAATCAGATTTCCAACAAGTTAAAGATTTTTAAAAAGAACTGTCACATTTTGCAACAGGATTCAATTGAGCACCTTTATAGTGAACCTAGATTTATTTACAGAGGAGCTCATAATTTTAAACACATTTTAACAACCAGTTTTATTGAAAGATTTTTTTTTAAATGACCCATTCTAAAAAAGTTTTTTTTTTACTGAAGGAATTTCATGGGATGCAAAATTACAGAAAATGGGGAAAGGATAAGAGAAACTTTTCACTCCTATGTCACTGGTCAGGAGTTTTCTTTTCCCTCTTTTATCACTTGTAATACCATAAATGTTGTGTATGTGCTCACATGCCCTTATGGTCTTCAATATGTAGGGAAAACCTCTAGACCTTTAAAGATAAGGGTGCGTTAACACATATACAACATTAAAAGGGGTTACAGCAACCACAGTGTTTCGCAACACTTTTTGGAATTCCATAATAAAGACCCGAGTAAACTAATATTCTTTGGTATACAATCTTTCCAGAGTCACTGGAGAAGTAATAATGAACCAATGATTTTAAGAAGAAATGAAATTAAGTGGATTTTTGATTTAGACACGCTATCACCAAAGGGTTTAAATATGGATTTTGAAATGGGTGTTTTAATTTAATGCACTCTCTAGAAAAGAAGAGGTTTTAAAAAATGCATAATTCCTTTTTTTTTTTTTTTCCTCTAGTGGGTCCCTTTATCTTCCCTTATTATATATCTCTATATTTTAGAATAACAGGAGATGATATTATATACTAAGTTAGATGGTTCTTATTTTTAAATTTTAATGTGATTTATGTGTATTATGACTTTGCATTAATATCTATGATGTCGTAATATATAGGATATGATTATCTATAGACAATTCTAGGATATACATAATTTTTTTTTCCGCTTTGCACAAACGTATAAGTACAATATAGTTAGCGCTATGCATGGGCAAGGTGGAACGCATGATATACAGGACTCAGGGTGATGATGCGTGCCGGTAGAGACGTATCGACACGCGGCCTATGCATGAAATGCAATCAACGTGACCAAAGAGCCAGAGAGAGGCTTGGAGTCCAGATGCCTTTCTGCACAGGATATAAGTCCGCATGAGGATATCCGGGTACACCGGTCATCATATGACCGCGTTGTGCTATTGATTTTCTATACTTGTTCCAGTGTTAGGCAATTTTAACCAATAAAATTATCTTCTGCTCAAGTAACCAGTTTCCTGCCTGACTGAGACTCCCATGTTAGTACCTCCACACACATAGCAGTTGGTAACATTAAGACTACCGGCAATACTCTCGGCTAAATCAATGAACAAGTTTTTAGCATTATGGGGATCTTATTATCTATGCTCATCTCTTCATAAAAGGAATGGTATACTTGATGAGTTTGGGAGGTTACCGTATCAGTCTCTATCCCTATAAACAATATTGTCCCAGGGTCTAAACCCGTCCCATATATTTGAAACCCAAATAAATTACTATATTTATCTAAGAACTTGTCAGGGTTATTTATAAGTATATGGATTGGATTGCATTCCATAGACTTACAATATGGATTAGTAGGCAACTTAGTCACAATCATGTCCTTGTCTGCTGTCTGCCCCCAAGTCGCCCACCCCACACAAGACCAATATGGGCAGAAGTTATAATCTCTATTTGGGCATCTTGGACTTACATATTTATTTTTACTACTGGGACAAATATATTTATCGTTAGACCCATACGCCCTCTCCCATCTAAGATCCCCACATACATTCCACGGCTTTCTACCACTTGATATTGCTTTACACGCATCAAATAGCAGAGCACCTGAAGAATATACGGATTTTAATACCGTTTTATTAATTAGGGTCCCCTGAGAATCTCCATTTCTGAGAGTCAACCAAATTGTACGTGGTTGATACTCAGGACTGAAGCACTTAGGTTCTCCTACTCCTAAATGACACACACTATATTCTATATTTAAGTATCTACATCTTGATACATCTCCTTTACACTCATATTGCTAATGCCAAATTAGGGTCTGGGATATATGGTTACCTGTTCTTGTAGTCTTAATGCATACCTCACAGCTAGGAGTGTTGGTACCTCTACCTTCCTGAATATAAAAATACACATAAATAAACATTATTAAAAATACATCTTTCGTCGTCATCCTCAGTCTTCGTCCGTGCGAAGGCACCTCAGCTTCCAGGATGTAAGGGCTGCAGGGAATGGAGTTCTGCTCGTCTTCACAGGGGTCCCTCAAGACTTTCCCTGACTTATACACTCGTTGGTGAGTGGACAGGCTTTATTATGGCCTTCTCACTCACTTACCAAGTCTCTGAAACAATAAAATTTGTAATCTACAAGGTTCCTCGTCACTGAGTCGTGCGTTTTAACCGGATCTTGCAGGGATTCTCTGGATTTGCTGTAACTTGCCAGGAATCGGCTGCTGCTGGTTTAACCCTGGAGTGATGTATCCACGGAGCCACTTCGGCTACTTTTATCGCTGTAGGGTAGACAGAAGAACAACATAAGGACCTCTCCACTTGGGCCCTAACGGCACATTATTCCACTCTTTAATCCACACTTGGTCGCCTGGGTGGTAACTATGAATTGGGGATAAATATTCACAGGTAATCTATCTTGTACCCATTTCTGTACCTCCTCCATAGTCTTACCCAACTCTACAACCTGCTGCCGGGTAATTCCTTCTCCCAACTGACTCAAATCCCCCCTTAAGTCACCAAGCACGGGAGGTGGTCGCCCGTACATGATTTCAAAAGGAGAGAGGCCCATCCTTCTGGTAGGTGTACTACGGATTCGCAATAGAGCTATGGGCAAGAGAACGTTCCATTTAAGTTGGGTTTCCTGACACATTTTAGCCAACTGATTCTTAATAGTTCTATTCATTCTCTCTACCTTACCAGAACTCTGGGGTCTATATGCCGTATGAAGCCTCCACTTTATACCAAGTATATGAGTCAATTGTTGTAGGCACTGATGAACAAAAGCTGGACCATTGTCCGATCCTATAGAGCAGGGTAGTCCATATCGGGGTATTATTTCTCGTAGCAGGAATCTCACGACTTCTCCTGCTTTCTCTGTACGAGCAGGACATGCTTCTACCCAGCCTGAATAGGTGCACACCACTACCAGCAGGTAGCGATGTCCACCCGATTTAGGCATCACTGTATAGTCAATTTGTAAATCGGACATGGGAAGTCCCCCCATAAACTGGACTCCTGGTGGCTTTACCGGTCCTTGTCTTGCATTATTTTTAGCACACGTTACACATCTACGTACAATGGCCTGAGTCAAGTTGGACAATCTTGGTATGTAGAAATGTTTTCTGAGAGATTCTTCTGTACTGTCTCTCCCAGAATGTGTCCCTTTATGATAGTTTTGGACAATTTCTACCGCTAGTGATGCTGGAATAACTATTCTTCCATCTTCTAACTGATACCATTTGTTCTCCAAATACTTTCCAGGTTCAGTCCTTAACCACTCCTCTTCTTGAGCTGTATAAATTGGAGTCCATTGAGACAGTGGAGTTGGTATAAGAGCAGCTATATGCCCTACATATTCCTGTCTTCCTGATTCAGCAGCACGCTTAGCTGCACTATCTGCCATCCGATTCCCTTTGGTTACATCACCATCTCCTCTCAGATGCGCCCGACAATGTATAATACCGACTTTTTTCGGCTCCCACACTGCTTCCAATAGTTGTAGGATCTCAGCTGCGTATTTGATTTCTTTGCCTTCTGAATTCAATAGTCCTCTTTCTTTATACAAAGCCCCGTGGGCATGAGTGGTTAAAAACGCATACTTGGAGTCCGTGTAGATGTTCACTCTTAAACCTTCAGCCAATTGTAACGCTCGTGTCAGTGCTATCAATTCTGCCTTTTGTGCTGATGTTCCTTTTGCCAGTGGCTGAGCTTCTATCACCTTGTCTATCGTTGTTACTGCATATCCTGCATAGCGAATCCCTTCTTTTACATAACTACTGCCGTCGGTGTAATATTGAACATCAGGGTTCTGGATGGGAAAATCACGAAGATCTGGTCTACTTGAAAATACTTCATCTATTACTTCCAAACAATCATGTTGACTTTCAGTAGGTTGTGGCAAAAGGGTAGCTGGATTTAAGGTATTTACAGTCTCTAAATGCACTCTTGGGTTTTCACACAACATTGCTTGATACTTGGTCACACGGCTGTTACTAAACCAATGATTTCCTTTGTAATCCAACAACGTCTGTACTGCATGTGGAACTCGTACATAAAGTTCTTGACCCAGAGTGAGTTTATCGGCTTAAGCTACTAGCAGGGCGGCTGCAGCTACAGCTCTTAGACAAGGTGGAAGTCCGCTGGCCACTGCATCCAGTTGCTTAGACATGTAGGCAACAGGTCTTTGCCATGATCCCAAGTACTGTGTCAATACCCCCACAGCCATTCTTCTTTGCTCATGTACATACAGGTAGAATGGCCGTGTGTGGTCAGGTAGACCTAATGCTGGGGCACTCATCAAAGCCCTCTTCACATCTTCGAATGCCGTTTGCTGTTCTTGAGTCCATAAGAAGGGGTCGTGCTCTGTACCTTTGATAGCTGCATACAGAGGTTTTGCCAGTATCGCGTAGCTGGGAATCCATATCCTACAGAAGCCTGCTGCCCCCAAGAATTCTCGCACTTGTCTTCTATTCCTGGGTATCGGTATTTGGCACACAGCTTCTTTTCTCTCTGGCCCCATAATTCTTTGACCTTCAGAGATATGGAATCCCAGATATTTGACAGTTGGCAAACACAACTGAGCCTTCCTTCTTGACACCTTGTATCCTGCCTTCCAGAGAATGTGTAGTAGATCGTGCGTTGCTTGCTGACATACTTCCTTTGTAACTGCTGCTATCAACAAGTCATCTACATATTGTAATAATACACACTCTCCTGGGATAGACTCGAAATCTAGTAGATCTTGACTTAGAGCTGAACCAAATAGGGTAGGTGAATTTTAAACCCCTGGGGCAATCTTGTCCAGGTCATTTGGCGTTTCGAGCCCGTTACAGCATTTTCCCATTGGAAAGCGAAGATACATTGGCTTTCTGCGGCAATTCGGAGGCAAAAGAAGGCATCTTTGAGATCTAAGACTGTAAAGTAAGTAGCCCCGCCCGGAATTAAAGCAAGCAGGTTATATGGATTGGGCACGACTGGATGTATACTAACAACCGCATCATTGACTGCTCTCAAGTCCTGCACAGGTCGATACTCATCTGTACCGGGCTTTTGAACAGGCAGCAATGGGGTGTTCCAGGGGGAAGTACAGAATTTTAGGATACTATACCGTATGAACTTATCCAGATAAGATTGGATGTTCTTCTTAGCCTTCTGCGGAATATGATATTGTCTCAGGCTTACTGGATAAACCCCAAGTTTTAGTTCAATTTTAATAGGTGGAATATTGCGGGCCAGTCCTGGTGGGTTGTTCTCTGCCCAAACCAGTGGCGTCTCCAGCATTCATATTTAGGGGGGGCACATGGGGGGCCGGGGACAGAAGTAGGGGGGCAATTACAAAACGTGTGTGTGTGTGTGTGTGTGTGTACACACACATGCGTGAAGAACATTTAAAAGTTAACAAAATTCAGATTTCCAGCACCTTGATAAATATGCTTAAGTCTGCTTTAGAGATGCAATTGTAACAATATCTCATGATGCCAGAATTGTTACAAAACTAGTTTAAAAAAATATATATATTTTTAAAAATAATTTACAACATGCAATTTGAAGGGAATTTAAATTAACACTTCTATATAAATATTTCACATACATAGAAAATGGTCACTTAACAGTGTATTCTCTACGCTACAGTTTAAGCATTTTAAAGTGACACAAAGTTGTATTTTGAAATGCTAATTCAAGTGAATTTTTACTGTAAGAAGAGCAGATTTAGCTCCACTTCCATGAACAATTAAAAATGGTTGGCACTAAAGTTTGTGCCCTGACCTATAGTTGGTGAATACTATACCAACACAAACTAAAATGACTTGTTTCATTCTCTTGCTCACAATATGGAATCCTGGGTACATGCATATCATTTACTCAAAAGCTGCAATTAAAGTTCACGTTACTTACAGTAGTAGTGCCACTGTCTGGAGTGTCTGCTCCGCTCACTCAGTCCCTCTGCAAATTGCACTCTCAGGTAGGTAAGGTTTCACACCTTATGTGGCTCCGCACTGCAAACTGTTTGCAATCTCTGGTAAGTAAGGTGACACTGTCACAACACTGTCTGCAATCTCAGGAGTAAGTGCCACTGTCATACCACTCAATGTCTGCAATCAGGAGTAAGTGCCACTGTCATACCACTCACTGTCTGCAATCAGGAGTAAGTAACCTTTGTCACACTCACACCACTCACTGTAATCAGTGCAATTAATTCACTTTTCTCTGAACCTGGATGTGGCAGAGGCAGCGGGCCACAATACCTGCTCCTCTCTGCTTGATCTGTTCTGCCTCCTTTGCTCTTGCTTCTCTATGCTTGCTCTGCTCCTCTTTGCTTGCTCTGCTCTGCCTCCTCTCTGCCTGCTGTGCTTCTATTTGCATGGTCTGCTTTTACTCCTCTCTGCTTGCTCTGCTCCGCCACTCTCGACTTGCTCTGCCTTTCTCTACTTACTATGCTCCGCTCCTCTCTACTTGCTCTGCTCCTCTCTGCTCTTGTCCTCTCTAATTGCTCTGCGCTGCCTCTTCTCTGCTTGTTCTGCTCCTCTCTGTTTTCTCTGCTCCTGCACACATATTGCCTAATACATACAAACCCATACATACACACTGCCTAATACATCCATCCATCAATTTATACACACATATTGCCTAATACATAGACCCATAAACGCACACTGCCTAATACATACTCACTGAATACTTACATCCATACACACACACTGCCTAATACATCCATCTGCACACACATATTGCACAATACATATATTGCCTAATACATACACCCATACATGCACAGTGCCTAATACATACATCCATACACACATACTGCCAAATACCAGACATCCCATGTCTCCCGGTAGTTCGGGGAGACTCTCGCATGTTGAATGCGGTTCCCTGACACCCGCAGATCATACATAATATCCCAGAAATCACACACACAATCAAATCTATAAAGTATGACTTCTGTGCATGTCAATATGTGTGTGTATCTGTGTGTGTTTCAGTGTGTGTATCTGAATGTATGTGCCAGTGTGCGTTTCAATGTGTGTATCTGTGTGTCAGTGTGTATGTGACAGAGTGTGTGTATGTGCCAGTACGCATATCTGTGTGTCTGTGTGTGTTGGTGGAGGGGGGGGGAGTGAGCGCAAGCATGTCAGGGGGAGGTGGAGTGACCGCACATGTGCACGGGAGTGGCGTAGTAAATTGTGAAGCCACCTCCCTGAAATGCATTTTTGCATGTTGGGATACATTTTACATTAAATATATAATTTATAGCTGTGATAATATTTTCATTAATTTGGTGGGATTTTATTTATAATATTGTGGGATTTAATTTATAGTAATGGGTTTACGTTAATTAATGTTACAGTGAACCTGTCTAACAGGTTCACTGTAAGAAACTTTTTTCATTATAATCTATCAAATGTATTATGAATATAATTGGTCGCATAGTCACTCGCACACACTCTAACATACACTACTTACTGAAGTATACACACGTCACACACTCACTAACACACGTATTAAGTATATACACAATGTCACTGACACACTCACTAACACACACTATTATTAAGTATACACACAATGTCACACACTAACACATTATTATTACGTATACACACGTCACTGACACACACTATTAAGTATACACACAATGTCACACACTCCCACTAACACTCACTATTATTAAGTATGCACACAATGTGCCACAATCTCACTAACACACACTGTTAAGTATACACATAATGTCACTGACACTATTAAGTATACACACAATGTCTCACACTCTCACTAACACACACTATTCAGTATACACACACAATGCCTCACACTCTCACTAACACACACTATTCAGTATACACATACTCTCACTAACACACACTAATCAGTATACACACACACAATCAATGTCTCACACTCTCACTAACACACACTATTCAGTATACACACACACACAATATCTTACACTCTCACTAACACACACTATTTAGTATACACACACACACATGTCTCACACTCTCACTAACACACACTCTTACTGAACTATACACACACAATGTCACTCACACCAGTTTAGTCACACTTTATACACACACAAACATACACAATATGATCAGCCCCCTT